TTCTCCAGACAAGGATAGATTATATTCCCTAGAAAAACAGTTGTTCGTCTTTATTTTAGCCACGATACATAAAAATGGAAAATTTTCGGGTGGTTTTATAGTTATGCTATGCAGTGTAGTAGAACTTCGATTATTCGTCAGTCTTTGTGTCACATCTCTATTGTCTGTGTATGGCTATAGTCCGTTTGTTAAAGTTTGTTTTTAACATCCAATACTAGAAATTGATCTCACTCAACCGAAGCTGTAACAGAAAATTCAAGAATTGCTAGTTGCAAAAACAGGAAACGTTAGTAGAAAGTGGTGCAAAATACTTTCAGCTTGTAATCGTGGTTTCAGTTAATAATATTTGAGTAGTGTATCCAGCATGACTCGTACAGTCTGCCCGGATTGATTGTTTTCACTGCCAGTGGAACGGTCTACTGTTTCTTAATCCTGGATAATTCTCCCTAAGCTTTTCATGATCGTGATCGGGCCTTTATTCTGTTTCGCTAATATTTTCATTATGTACAGCAAACATTCAGGAACCAACGACCGTGCACACACGCGTGGAATTCGAATTAAAAACTGATCCCCATGAATATTTTATGAACGGTTGCCCACCGAAGGAAAGAAATTCCTCGGCGGATTAAGCGCAAGGAGATGCGAACACGTCTTTCGGCTAGAACAATCTACTAGGATTCGTGCTGGAAATAATTATTTAACGAGCTCCAGTGTGGTATATCGAACACGCCAGAGCGCCAGATAGGATAAAAACTTCTCTACCGAAAATGCGTTTCCCTTTTTAGTGCATTTCCGACGTTTTTCATTTTCAATTCGCTAGGATTGCGATTCGAATCTCCGCTTAATTGTTCCCTCGCATGAGATTCAGTGACCAACTTTCGTCGGACGAGATCGCGAATGGCTTTCTATTTGATCAGTAAGGAACCATTATCTTGGAAGAAGAATAAAATTCGAACAAATCTGAAATTTTTCTTACCTTGTTATACTCAATTCTTGTAAATCTGATTGTGTTATCAACCAATTGCACGAACGCCAGCTGAAAACTTAGGTTTCAAGTGGCACAAACTGGTTTCAAGTCTTCATTCGACAGTGTACTTATTTATTAATAGCCAAAACAAAAAGCCTGGTAGAACGTACCCACTGTAAATTGAACTCTGAATGCGCAATAAGTCCAGTACAATTTTAAAGTCCTATCCAACTCGGTCTTATGCCCGTAAGCGTACACTGTTCCTAATTTCATTCCCACTGTGTGCGACGTGTAACGCTCGCGTCGGTAATAATTCAGACGCAAACGCGCGCGTCTGACGCAGCTAGGAAGTTCCACCTGAACGCTACCAGGAGGCACGTGAAGAAAAAATCAAAAGAAATACCTGGTGGTCTCGACGAGCTCCATCGTCACCTGGCAATAAACGATTTTCACCGCGAACATCGCGCACCAGCATGGTAAATATCGCGCGAGCGTGCACTGTGGCCGTTCCGCGCCTGTTTTACACGGGTTTCCAGAACCGGAATGACTTTCCAGCCGAGCAACACGGGCGAATTTTCGATACGTACAGGCGACGGTGTCGCGGCCCTTTGTCCTGTACGCAGCTGCGTGTGCACATCGTTGAAACAGAGAGAAAGAGAGAGATACAAAAAGATAGAAAGAGAGAGACGTTCGTCAAAACGGATATCCGGTGTTCCGCTGTGCCGGCCTCCTTCCCCTTGCCCCTCGTTGTCTTTCGTCGTTTCGATTGCGCCTGTTTCTCGTCGCGAATTCCCTCCGCTAATAATTACGATCGTTTTGCCTGCGGAATTTCGTAATTAATTCGATCACTCATCAAACCGATCAGAAGGTAACTTCGATGTTTGGTAATTCTGAGAAATCCAACGGTGAATCGTCTCGAATTTACCATAAACGATCGATCTTACGAATGAAGAAACATTAAATAAAATATCTTACATGAGTAACGTTATAATTGAGGAACGGTAGAAATGAGTTGGAGGATATATATATTCGATTGGGTCGAGAATATCGAAAACTGGGCACGTGCAACTGAAACGCGAACTTCCATTAGGAAGTTGCCCGTTAATATTCCAACGACGCAACCGCGGATTTGTGTACGAGCTCTCGCGAGAATTAATTGTTCGGACAATTCCAGATTGCTCGTGTTATTTCCCGCGGTGGGTTCTGGCGAGGAGTCGATAAACATATCTGAGCCACAGAGTTAGAATATGAAGTCACGTTTTTCAAACTTTAGATGAGAGAAAATCAAAGGTGCGGAAACCTTGTAACTTTGGAGCGTTCTGTAAGAATTCAATGAGAAATAATTGTTACTTGGATACTGTTGAATGGACTTAGGACAAATCTCAGATGTGGGTGTATTAGGAACTCGTGCGACGTTCTGCGAACGAGTTTGAAAAACTTTTAGTTTCCAGTAATTAAGAGAACGATCAATCAAAACTGTTTAGAACGATTATACATTGAATTGTTTTTTTATTCCTGGCGAGTAAAGTATTCGAAACCGGAGGAAGTTGCGATTATTGCCCGGAACGGCGATCCGATTTTCATTACCCTCGGCTGTATTTAATAAAGCCTCGATGCGAACCTTTTTACGAGGTACTGTAGATAATTAATCGTAGAAGTGTCTTAAATCGATCGTGTGTAAATATCGACTAGTTGAATTTGATTATGTGCATTGTATTTTCGGCTCTGAACAACAGTTTTTAACGTGATAAGCATCAGAGCCGAGGGATAAAGGCAGAATTTCAGTAAACAGTTGGCAGACTCGTTAGCGGTATCGCGAATATGGAGATAGAAAATTTCTCGAGTTTCTAGAAGCGGCTAATTAGCGGAACTACGACACGCGTGTAATTTATGGAGATATCAAACGGATGAAGTGGATTCGCTCATTCCAACGATATCGAATATTTCATAAAGTCCATACAACTTCCATTGTTACGGAAACAAAATTAACGCTGTACAATTATAAAAATAGTGTGGATCGATGTACGAATCACGCGTGATTTATAATTAAGACAGGCTTTTGTAAATTCATTTTTCTATGTTCCATGGTTAAAGAATAATGGGAAATAACTGATCGTCGATATAAATTATCCCGAGAAAAGGTCCAGTCAGAAGGAAAACAAAATTAACAAGCGAGTAATTGCATTCCGATGCAACTTTACAGATGGATCTTGCAACGATACGATTAGGATTGTAGAAATTAACTGTACTTTTATTTGCAGTTTAATCTATTTCCTTGTGAAGATCTATGATACGAAATACTTTCCTGTGTTGTTCATTTCCATGTTATCAGTTCTTTTACGCAGTTTGAGGCTGTAACTTTGCAGTCTCGCGTCGCCTCTCTTCGATCCAGCAATTCAAATTTCGCGGGAGACTGAGCGCGTTTACATCGTTGACATGCATGTGCCGGAAAATCATTTTAAATATTCGCAGATGGTAGCTTTCTTGGCAATTGCTTCCTATCTTGGGAAAGCTGCACTCCAATTTTCTTACATTTCACGTCGAAACGTAGAAAACTAAAGGAAGAAAATTACGACAGATCGTTATTGCGACTGCTCGTGTAAAATCGGAAAATTCGCCAAAACGATGAATTTCGACGTAAAATTGTTATTTTTTGTTTATTTTTCTCGTGCTTTACAACATCGAAGATCAGATAAATAAACCCAGAAGAACTCGTTGGTATTTATCGGGACATCTAATTGCGAATGATTCATATGTTAACCTACTTAAGAAATTTCGCACGACATCGCGTAATAGCGCACGCGCGGTAGATCGTCGAGGCGCATACTCCAAAGATCTCTCGTTCCCTTATAAAGCACCCAAGCCTCTAATGATTCTCGCCGCTCTGAACACGACTGCGTACGGATCTCGCGGCAAGAATTTCTCGAAACCACCATACACACGACAATTAAGTGATTCTTGCCTGTTTTTCGTAAAAAAAAAAAAAGGCGGCCAAGAACCATTCCTCGTACACGATACGAAACTACTAGAAACAAGACGCGCGCAAGGTCTCAACGAGAGGATCGCGTAATTAGACCACAACCGTGCTAATAAGCGCAGCCTGACCGTGGCGAAATCCTTCTAATTAACAATAAATTAATCGTCCACTAATCATAAAGCGTTATTTCGTTCGAACGGGACCGAACGGTTTCGATCAGAACCATCGTACGATTTCTATGGAAACGAAGAATTTATTGGCAAGACAGAACTTACACTGTGCATGATACAGAGACTTGTGATTTTTTTTCTCATAAATATTTACGTGAAAGAAACATTACGTGTTCTTGTTTGTAAATGAAACCTAATAATTCGCGGGACTTCGTGTACCTATGTCCCAAGAATAATCATCGTGAACATTCCTCGTGTCTAGAGAACGTGTGATACCTACGTTGCGCTGAATAATGGTAGATACCCAGGAATAGATTAAAGTAATATCATCGCCGAGCATCATTGTACAGTTTCTGCTCTGATATTTATGCACTGTGGTAGTAGTTTCAGCCGGGGCTTTTTCGGGCTCATTAAAAATCTGGGCCACGCGCGGGGCCTCGCCATTATACCGCAATATAATTAACTTATGGCGCAGATAATTTCTCTACCGCCACGCGCCTCTTAATCGCCGCAGAAGCCGCGAATTTTCTGTCTCGAACGGGAATCCTTGTTTCTTGGATGACTACGGGAATCGATCAAATGAGCCGTCTCCGGACCCGTTGATCGTCTTTCGTCGATCAACTTAATATTCCAAAATGGCGGCACGTTGCGCCATTTCAAGTAAAAACGACAGAGACTTTCTTCTTCTAAACTCGGGTAATAGAAATTTGATGAGATTGTACTGAATTGAATCGTGTGGAGATAATACTTGATATTAATATTAATTATTGTATAATATTTTATTGCAACGGGGAATAAGTTAATGGTAATTTTAAAGTGTTTCAGGGTTGAAACAAGATTAAAATAGGGGGATAAGAATTATGTATGATTGATTCATGGGACTCACCGATGGCATTTTTGACGTTGTCTCTCGTGCACCCATAATGCCTCTCCAAGGGTATGGGTTCCGCTCTGTACTCCACCCATTGTCGACCCCTGAACGACGAGGCCTGATATAAATTTACATTTTTGTGTCATAAATGATTATTTAAAATCGCAAACATAATTAAAATTCCTTTTAAACGTGCATACACGAATTAGAAAGGAGAGAAAGAAAGAAATTCGAGCTAAATATAGAAGTACTTTTAACACATTGAAGAAATGTTTATTCGTCAAATTGAATTCCACGGTTTTCTATCAGTTAGCGGTATTTTAATTATCTTATTTTTGTGTTAATTTTTATAGACTTGCCGTTTCCATCGATCGATCGATTTCACGGTGAATTTAGATTAATAACTCGTTCAAGGGAAACGCGACGCGTGAAACATATCGTAGTTTTTTTCGAGATCATATAAAGAATTTATTGCAAGCTAAACCGTATATGAAACGTATAAAGAAACGTTTGTGGTGAATGGAAGACAAATCGAGAAAAAATAGCGCGTGATAAATGATTTTTATATGCAGTTGTAACTCGCATGCGCATGAGTCACAGTGGGATACGGCTTATTTAGTGAATGCATCCGAACACAGATGGCGTTAAAGAGTACCGCTTTCTCGCTAGTAAAGTTGTCAACCGTATACATAAGAAGTTAAGAGAAGGCTGATAAAGTCATGTTATAGTTGAACCGAGAGTTGTTCCTACGTTAATTTTGTCTAGAAAGGGTCTTAACCGTCGGTTTTGGCCCAAATTGATTAATCAAAAAATATATAATCATTAAATTTTGTACAATTTTCTCGTTTTTAGTTGAAGTAAATTTCTGTGTAGTATGTTGATTGAGAAGTAATTTTTATTACGATGAAGTCTTCAACAAAGTTAATTAATGTAGAGGCCAATTAAGGTTGGAAATATATTGTGTAATACGGAATAACATTTCAATTAACTTTATTCATTAATTCATTGGGCTCCAAACCACAGTAAAATTATTATCATAATCGTCAAATGCATTATAACCACAAAATACTGCTATAATCAAATTTAATTTTAATTGGTAGTAGATAATATTTACTTGACGAATAATATACGTGTTATTTAGTAAATAATAATTAGTAAGACAGTAATTCCCAGAAAATTGCACAGCGATATGTACAAGTCGCTATACACATATCATCCTAACCCTTTCGTTAGTAAAAGAAAGGAAAAAAAAGACTAATCATGCATACTGCAAAACCACTTCGAAAAAGCATTTTCTCCCTGCGATACATAAACCGTGCCTCCCCAATCAAGAACCTCACATACCCTTAATCCTTTTACATTTACAGTTCTTTCAAATCAAGAGAAATTAAAAACCCAATTACGTGAAAATTACCTGAAAGACCGCACCTGAATTCTTACGTCAAAAAAGCTACCTATCCAAAACAGTTGAAAAGGTCACAAGAAAATTAACTGCTCTCCTCGCGCAGTATCTACCTCCCACCAACTACCTTTTTTTTTCTATCCTGTCAAGGGGTACATATATAAGATCCAAGGGTAAGCTTGCCACACCTTTCCGATCACCAGGGCGCACCACATACCGACCCCTAAATAATTTACCTACCCGTGGGGAGATCCCCAGATCTCAGTGGTCGTGCATCCTTGAAGAGGTCACGTCACGCGAACTTTCTATCGATCCCACCGTCCACCGATCGGGAAACACGCGACTTCGATTAATCGAACCCCCGCGGATAGTTTTCGGCCACGAAGGAACCCCTTTTTCGGCCGATTGGTGTGGTTTTCCACACGCGCGCGCGCGTCACTTATTAGTTGGCCAGAATCCAGAGGCAGACTGCCGCCGGCTGGGAAAACTTCACCACCGCCGCGAACTTTTCACCGCGGGCTTGGAAGAAGGGAGGACGACACACTGGTAAAGGTGGTGGCAGCTTCTCTGGCCACTGACCAGCTAGCTCGATCGCTTCTTCGCTCGCCGAGCAAGACACGGCGTCGTGGGGGCACGCTAATTGTCGGACGTTGCGCCTACTCTCCATTAACCGGCTGCAATTAACACGGGCGAAGCCGAATTTCATTGCCGGGTGAGAGAGATCGAAGCAGAACTCACGACCAAATAATACGCATTCGCGATTGAATCATCGAAGAAACGGGCCCGGTTTCCCTTTCGAAACCGGAAACTCAATGACAATTGGGCCAAGTTGTGACGATAGCTACCAACCATCCGGTGATCTGAAACGAAGGAAACTCAGTTTGAAGATGTTAATTTTGAGAAAAAAAAATGTTTTATTTTCTATTCGGTATATTTTATTTCAATGTTTTAGTTAGAAGTACACTTCTTGAATTTTTGTGATTAGCACTACTCCTTTCACCTTCGAAATTCAGAAATAATATTTCGCCCGTGAATTCTATACCAGCTGTAGATGTGCACAAACTATGAATAAGATCGGCCTAAGTGGGTACTGATTTTTGACATTTGTTTTGCAGTGTGTTTACCACCCGCGATGCAACAAAATACTGATGATTTTTTGGACCTTGAAGGGGATCTTCGAAATCTTTAATATGCCTTCATTCACTGTCCTTTGTTTTCTGTGGATACTACGTGTTTCGAATTCGAGTCACCATTTTTATCGATCGATCCCCACGAGCGATTGTGTACACAAAGCACGTAAAAGAATACCGTGTCTTTTCTATTAATACGATACTATTCGGGTTAATCCACCGGCTATAATTCGCTTAGGAAATTACGTGTACGTGGATCGTAACAAATGGGCGATAAACAGGACGACTTTCTCCAAGATTATGCCTCGTATCGGCCGAAATACGCTGGGTACGCAAGGCAGTTACAATTCTCCATGGTTTGCTGCTCAAAATGTTCACACGTTCCATCGCCAAGCGAATATTTAACCGCGCGCAGTGAAGTTTTGCTATCTATTCCGAATATCGTGCAATTAACACAGAGATCGATTGTGGTAATCAACAAACAATACTAACATGGGCCCCGTTGTTTCAAGCACTTCGAATCCTCGGTTACGCAACTGTCGATCGACAGACCGGTTGTTGCTCGATCCCAGCGAGCATAATTCCTTCCGGTGTGCGCTTCACGCTATCGTACGCTTTTCAAAATGCTGCCGTTTGCACAAGCCTCCCCGGAGCATTCCTTGGACTCTCGCGGAATGAAAATCCGTTATTGCAGCCGAGGGGGACAGTCTTTCGAGACATCTAATCGAAAAGTCTCGTCGCAACGATTCGACTCAAACTAGAAATAAATTGGAACCACAGACTTACAACTTGCAAAAGATACGATCTATTAACGTGGAGTTCTTATAGCTCGAGTTAAGTATCGTTCTTTCGATACTTTATACATCAATTTACAAAGTAAGAGTAACATGAGCGTAGGCAGGTTATCAGTCGGACGGGGGTGAGAGTAAATAAATTTTTTAATTTATATTTGCATACAAAATATTGGTTAATATAATACAATATTTTTCCCCTCTAGGGAGGCTACGCCTATGAAGAGTGATTTATATTTATATCGAAATGGCGTTCATTAGAAGTGGTTTTGATCTTACGAACTCCGAAATTTATTGTGATATAAACACCACTTAAGAAATTTGAGTTTCTCCAGTGCAATAGTAGAAATCTCTCAGTGATTCATATTCCGAGCAATCATTTATTTCTTTTCGATATCGATTTTTGTTTGAATCTGCCCCAGTCCAAAACTTTTCGTGAACTCAAGAACTAGGATCTAGATTAGCGCTCGACTTTATATGAATTTATTTTGTCGGTTTAAATGTGGCTGATCATTCGTTATGGCGTTCCTGTGTAAGCTATTACAATCGCTTCCAACGGCGGAAAGAAATGAAAGGGCCAAGCGGCGATTAACAAAACGAAACTCCGTTTCCGTGAATTCGCTCGCGTGATGGTCGCGCGATCGAGAGCTGGGATCGCGTTAACCTGGTTAGGAGCCGTTTGATACGTGGAGGAGGTATTAGAGTGTGGAGACCGGAATGGGACGGCTACGGGCATCTTTACGTTGTAAGCAGAACGGAACCGAGCGTCGATCCGGCTGCACGATCTCTAAAAATGCATCCACGGGCATGCGAGTCGCGTTAGATTCTCGAGACGAGAGAAAAAATTCATTCGTTGTTTCGTTGGCGTTTTTATCTGAGAAAATAACACTGGGTCACAGTATTTCTGTTTTACACAGAGCTTTACGAGGCATAGTAAACGTCGGGACCGTCGGGACTAGCAATCGTTCAGCATCCCCGTCTCATCTCTCCTTCCACGAGGAAGCATAAAGCAGTCACTGTTCATGTTTTACGACGCATCTGGCAGCGGTGGTTCGTAGGAATACCCGAAATCTGACAGTCTCGTGGTTACGGTATTGGAAATAAGCCGACTGAAAGAATCCATTCGAAATTGACAGGAACGAAAGCTGCATTCTCGCATTTCTCCGTTCTTTGCTAGGCTGTCGCGTGATAGAAGACTAGCTACGCGAGTGTTTCTTTCGTTAACGAAAGATACGGAAGTTGACAGGCAAAGAAAGCATGCTTCTGCTACGTCTTGCACGATATTTTTCTAGTTGCCTCCACCGACGCACTTGGTTCTCTCGAAAGCAGAGAGGAAGAAAGGAGTTTACACTCTAGGCTACAAGACCGTTGCAAGAAACACTCGAGTTAAAAAAGAGAAACTGCATCCGATTAGTCTGACCTGCTCGTTTCGATATCGAAATGTAGCCCGACACCGGCAGCACGAGAGTGATGAATGGTTTTGACGCTCAAAGTTCGGCCGTCTGAGCAGAAAAATTTAATAGATCTAACGGCGGAATCTATGGAAAATACACGGTGGGGATTATCCAACCAGTGTCATTAATAATAATTAATGATTGAAACGTCTAGGAAACGGTATTATAACTGGAAGTATTAACACTTTAGTCTATTAAGAAATTAAGTATTTTATTCCTAGATACAACCGAATAGGGGAAAGATTCCACGCGAAGAAATAAGTCGAATATATAAAACAACATTTTTTCATTCGAGACTTCGTTTCTTCGGAAAATCGACTTTGAAACTCTGCTCGGTACGCGTGCAATTGAACAGGACTTTGGGTCTGTTCATTGTATTCCGTTTCTACTTACTACTAGACGAATACACAAACGATTGTTTAAACTCGATTTTCTCGAGACCAAAGTCTCGAATGAAAACCTATTATTCTATACTTTCGACTTATTTTTTCACGTAGAATCATCCCCTACAGTATTTTTGGGGTTCCTTTCATGGGTGTAGCCAGGATATCAGTCAGGAGGGGTTAAAATATTAACACATCCTCTGCCACAGTGAAAAATACTGTGTTAGCCGTGTTTCAAATCATACTGCAATATTAAATAGTACGCAAAATTTGATAACTCTAGGAAGAGAGGGGGAGAGCAAAATCCAGTTTTTTTCTTGTAGGGTGGGGCAAAGGCCACTTTTTTTCCGTCCAGGGTCGAAATTGGTTACGCCCATGGTTCCTTTTAAAGTTCTTCTGGCTCGTAGAGCTTGCACGAAGGAATCGATCTGGCAGGCCAGTGTATCAACGGTTCCCCCGATCTGATCTCAGTTGCAGACGTAACAGTGACGTATCATCGAGGATTGCCGAAGATCACGGTACCGTTGCCGTCCAGGAGGGAGCACTGCGTGTTTACCCTGAAACCAATAACCCACACCGTGGGCGACTTCATCAGGATGCTGAAGCGAGAGGATCGCGGGATCGATCGTGCAAGCGTGACGACGCTCGGTGAGTCGATCGATGAATATCACGGGGCATCGAACGACGAGCGCGTGTATAACGCGGGATGATTACGCCGCGTGTGGTTTGATGGTTTCAGACGGCATCAGAATAGGCTCGAACAACACGATAGAAACACTAATGGATGAGGACTTCCGGCTGATAATAAACGACAACGAGTACGTCGTTACGCCGCCGTTGCATCACAGGTACACTATGGTGAGTCCTTTCTTAAAAAATATAATAATAAAAAAGCATCCACGTCCTTGTTGGTAAGATCGAAAATTGTTATTTCGGAAGAAACGAGCTTTGGTCCGATTCGAATGTTTCAGGAAAACGTGGAGAAGTTGTCCGACGTGCAAACATTGATTGGACAACTGTACGAGGCGTTCCATGTTCGTGAGCATTACTCCGACATGGAGAAGCAAGTGTTGGCCGAGTTGGAGACAGTCAGGCTGGAGTTGGAGCCTATGGAACAGGTAAAGTCACTTGGACACACGGAACCACACACAGTCTTGGTGGTTTCAACCCCTTCGTGATTGCGGGCGATATTGTTCACGGGGATAGATATCAGTGTATTCATGAATACATTCTGAACGATACACTGGCTATACGATGACAGGTCTAATAAATATTTGAAAAATGTAACTGATATAGGAGTGTTAAGATTGAAATCAAATAGGTGAGCACTTGGGATTAAAGGACGGGTTATTCTTCCTCCTAGATCTCTCTACATTTCTGAGGAAGTTGAATAAAATTGCGTGCAGCGGAAACGTAAATCGAAGTTGCATGTACTGGGTAGTAGACGGCACACAGATAAATCTACGTGGTTCATTCATGTGTCACTGTAGACAGTAAAGTCCTCTGTTATAATTATAGCAGTCTATCAAAGCTTTTAATACAGAATTCAAAACTGTCCCATTTTAGTTTTCAAATATTAATGCCTAAAATTGTCAATTTGCATAAACTTCCGCAGTCTTACCATAATAAGTAACCATGTCGTGAAACGTTATTTCTGCGTTCCGTAACTCCTATAAACATTGTACACCATTGTACCCAACAGAGTTAGGCAGAATTTTATTTGAATAATACACAGTGAAAAGCAGCACTATCTAAGGGTGTCGTTCTGAGCTTTAAACAGTCAATGAGAGTACATAATTATTCGACAAATGTCGATTTATTCATAAAGAAGTATTATTTAAACAATTAAAAATGACGAAATACTTTTTTTATCTCTTATTCGTTATTCGAAACTTTTTATCTAGATAATGATTGCTCATCTCTGATACCTAAAATTGTAACCCCTTGAAAGGGAAATTCTCTAAGCAAATACCAGTATGTATTTCCGTGTTGGGATAGTTTCATCTCAGGGCGCGACAATGTACACGAGCCGAACGAAGGCGCGGCCCCGATGGTATCTAAATTAAACGGAAGTTTAAGGATTCCGTAGACGTGTCTGTATTAACATTCCGGGGCGTTAGAACGCGGCACGCGCGCGCATTATTCAACGAAACAACACGCGGTTGCGCGTCGCTCTTTTATCGCTAGTTTTCTCCTGCGCTGGACGCATTAAATTTTCATACGGAGCACGTTTCAATCATCGCGTTCTCCCATATCGCGAAACGGCATAATTAACCACCAACGCTGTTGGATCGCGTTCGAAGCATGATTACCGAAAAGTGATTAACGTATCGTCGTTATAACGCGAGCCCCGTCGAACTCGTCTTTCTAATTATATAATACCGGTTGGTTTCCTTTTTCATTCGCGTTTTTTCCCGCCCTTTCTCGCCTCGCGATCGATAAAACCACGGGGATAATAGATGCGAAACAGCGCCGAGCTTCGGTAACTTTCTATGTACGTTTCTGCAAGTCGTTGGAACCAAAAAAAATTGGTCCCAGAAAATGTTCAGAACTCTTCTTTTAACGGGGGTCCATTATATTGATTGTATGACATAAGGGATCCATTAAAAATTTAGTAATAATAGTACTGGGACTTGACTACTTTCTGAATCACATTGTAGTATCTGTAAATTTCTATCAAGAAATAATAGTTCTCCTGTTAATAGTAGTGGCAATTATTCTAAAGGTATTTATTTTAAAGATCAACGAAAGGAAGAACGCAGTAGCTATCATCAAAGTCATAAACCAGGTAAAGCTGAGACAAGGCAAATATTGGTAACTGCAGTGGAAACGTTGTACGGGTCTAAAGTGAACCTAGTATTGGTACAGAAGTTTCTAACAATCCCAAGTTGAGGAACCCCCAAGCCGGTGTTTTCGGGATCCTTCAAATAACTCCTCAAATATAAGCATAACAGACCAACGATCCGAAGGACCAATGTGTTCCGGTTTCTGTTACAGAAACTGATGGACTTGGAGACCACGGCCGCCAGGAAGGCAAACATCTTCATCTGGATGTGTCTAGTCTTGATGTCTGTTCAGTTTAGCGGCCTAGCCAGACTAACTTGGTGGGAGTACTCGTGGGACATAATGGAACCGGTCACCTATTTTGTTACCTATGGTACCACAATGGCTTGGTTCATCTATTTCGTTCTAACAAAACAGGTGAACGATTTCAAACTCTCAGACGTATACTTGATGGTATAGTTGCTCATAAAGACATACTTTGGAACCACTGAATTTATTAGATCGTTGTTTCTTTACCTCCAAGTATACTTCTTAGATATCGTCACAGATATGTTTATTATTTAATAATAAACATTGTACCAAATGCACAGGAATACATGCTGCCTGATGTGCTGAACAGACGTCACTTAATCGCCCTCCACAAGAAAGCCAGGCAAGCTGGCCTAGATATCGACCAATACAATGCCCTAAAGGACAAAGCTTACGAATTGGAGACCACCTTAAAGATTATCCGCGGGCCTCTATACGAGCATCAGAGCCGTATAGAACAGATGAAAAGATCAAGATCAAGATCAAGCTCAAGTAGTTCCAGATCACCCAGTTCATCACCTAGTCCTAGTCCTAGTCCTAGTCCTGAAAGGAGTCTTCCTAAAAAAGGCATCTTTCCACTACAAGACACACTTAAGAAACCGGTTCCCCAAGGAGCACAATTCAGTCCGGCTTGGATGCTCAAAGAAACAAGGGATTGATCACCGAAGGGACACCGATAGATCAAGTAGACTTTCAACGAGAGAGAAGTCGGTTCTTTATTATTATTTTTTTGTTTTCTTTACGAAAAAAAAAATGCACTCAGGGTGTTCACCAATAGTTAAATGCCGATGAGTCACCGGTGTTTAGCTGATAGTTAGAGAAAGTATGGCGAACCGGGGGCAAAAGGAACGAGACAGGAACGATTGCTTTCGTTTGCATAAGATAAACCTTGCAAGGATCGTCGACGGAGTCTTCCAAGTCGTGCGACGACACTCCTATTCAACGACTACGTGTATAAAATATGTATCTGCCCAATGCTCAATGTTGTTGACTGCTGTGCGTTTGGAAGACGTCGAAGGAAGATGTGTATATACCGCAGTTTTCTACACACACTGTCATTTACTACACGATAAAGAATCGGACGAACGGGGCTAGGGGTTCGTGGAGACATTGGTGAGGATGGTGTTCCCCGGCAATGTTGACACACGGGGCGGTTAATTGGAAGGAGAATTTCTGATAAACTTGAAATCATTCTTGCTGTACATTATTAAAATTATCATCGTGTTTTTAATTTTTCAGAACGGTTCCAAACTTTTGCACTAATGTACACATTTATACACATTTTCTAGACTGTCGTATATGTACGCTTTTCACAACGAATGTGTGTAGAAAAATCATTGAAATTCCAGAGAAGAAAGTACAGTTCTACGGAAGAGATATACGAGCGCTCCGTTTATCCTGAATAGAAACTGTCCTTAAAAACGGGCAAATGTAAAAAAGATGCTGAGAAGCTCCAACCTTCCGATGGATCGCCCTGTAGATATACACACATTTGTGGTTCGTGCGAAAATGTTTGTGATAAGTTAACGTCTTTTAGCTTGTAATTTAATAATTGCCTCCTCCTACGATCCGCGGGCACGCACGCTACGCGTTTTTAATCTCAAATCGGACCTCGATGAATTTTTATTTGACAAACTCGTCCATTTCACTCGTCGCGTCTGCAATCGAAACGGTTTTTTTTTTATATCTTCCGCGAGACGATAACGATCACATTACCCATGTAAATATACTATATTTTTCTTTCCCCTCCCGCAAGAACAAAGAACTATTTTACATTTCGTGTAACATGCAAGGCGTGTGGTGTACTTAACTTTTATTTCGACGCGCCGCTGTTCATTTATTGTTTCAGGGAAGAAGCGACGTACTTACTGACTATGTGACCACGCACATCCACAACTGCAAATATTTTTTAAGTCATTTTTCCTAATCGGTAACATTCTAACCTAATATTGATCATTGGACTGCGGATGTTAGCGCAAATATGGATAATTTACAGAGACTAGGATCAGAGGTTTGTTCACTCTGTTAAGGGTTCCGTCAGGTTCGAAATAACAACCTGATTGAACTTCGTTAATTTTTCGTTTTTATTATACTAAGTTCCAGATGTTTCTGGACACTATAAATGCATAAGATCCTCAGTCTAATGGTCATCTAACTCCTCCTCGCCGGTATTCGCTAATTATATATTGTAATACATACAATTTAACTATATTCTTCGTACACTCTGTCCGGAGTTTTTACAGTGTTACGATTAATGCTTAATCAAGCGCTGATAGGCAAGATTTTAGCGTCTAATATTTATAACGATACTCGCTACACTAAACACTTTTATTCCTATCGACTTTATTGGTGGCACACGATTTTAAGAGATTCCGCGACGTTCTCGTGCACCGTGTTACAGAAATTTTTTCGACACCTTTAAAATTAAGAATTTGACAGTACCGTTACTACCTACTTACTGCAACTTCTAGAGTATCATCCACGAAAGTATCTTAAGAATAACGTAAACTATTTCTAGCCCATTTAAGAAACTTTCTCTCGCTTTCGTAAAAATCCCTTATCCGTCCGCTCGAATAAACTCTCGGTGGTGTTGTACGGCAACCTAGACCAGTATACTAAACAGTATGTTCTCGAAGACACTGTGTGAGATTCTTTACCAAAGTCGGTGGTACAGTTGTGGGCATAATGTTAATTCAGATCCTGATAAGTTGATGCAAAGTGTCGCTCCGTTTCAATACGAATTAATTGAATTCGTCGAAAGAATCATTACTATAACTATTATTAATTAGACTGCGGATATTATGCATTTATAATATAATACATACACAGATATGTATCTAACATTCTTTTTTTAGGATGAAATAATTTCACAAAGGTTAGAATTTTTATTCTACTTTCAACATAAAAATAAACTGAACTGTTACATTTCGATTTTTCTGAGACACTCAATGGAAATTCGTACAAACGTCCGCGGTCTAAATATTATAACGCAATCGTTGTTTATGTTTTATATACAGATGAAAACATCTATTATTGTATAAGACCGTATATTTTCCTATGGAATCTGTATTTTTTAATTACTTTATATTGTTACAATCAATATAATCAACACTGCTCGCGAATAAGCAGTATGGAGATAAGAACAATGAAACAAGATACAATTAATTTCTGTGAAATATTTAACGTCTGCTCGTGTTTCATTTTGATCGCATACCGCGCGCACGGAACTGTACACGAAGAACAATTTCCGCTAGTCGCCGGTGAAATAAGGGGAAACCGCATTTCAGGATGTATCGAATAGTAGTCGGTTTAGAATCAGCTGCAGAGTAGACGATTCGACGTATACAGAGAGACTATGCACATTTTCATAGCACTTCTTCTCAAGCACAGGAATTGAATGCGAGCATGCTTGACCGCGTTCAGCGAATTTCTCCTTTACGACAATCGCTTTTAGCCGGAGGCTTCTGTTTTGCGACCGAATTAATCTAGTGCCAACGTTCAAGTCGCAAATGCGTGATCCCTGAAATCCTTGTGAGTTGATACCCGAAGCCTGAGTAGGGAGAAGAAGCAACGACCGAGAATGTCTCGAAAATAAATATACTTCGAAGAATAGTTACGAAACAGTAAAAAAAAAATATGTATCTAGAGAAATTAACTATCTGGCCTTGTTTAGAATCCAATACTAGCGGAAACATTCTTCCTGAGATTTGTTTTCAAGTGATCTTGATAGGAATGAAGGTCGAACAGATCTTCGAAGCTGTAGGAAAGTGTTCTTGGTTGGTTGGTACCAGATGTAAAGTAAGGGATGATAATGAAATAGTGATATTCGCTACGTTTTTCTGATATTCTTTTTTTATTGCTAGGTAAATGTTTCATTCGAAGCTTTTATGGAAATACCCAAATGTATAATAAGCAGGAAAAGGTAGGAAGGTGTCGCTTCCCAGAAACGAATTTCTTGTCTTCGCAAATAGCTAATTCTCTTTCCGACATATTTTTTATGATGTTTAACAAAGATTTCGTACATACAAGATTTTGTAAATACACAATGATATACATATATATGTATTGTATATCGTATACATAAATGTATGGTTATTTTGTAAATGTCTTGTGCTGTTTCCTTGGTGCTTACGAAATAAACACCTAAACTCCTCGGTCGGTTAACTGACAACAAACTCAAGGTCGAACTTATTCTTCGTTTGTAAAATTGTTACCTATACATATATGTATCGGAGTTTCGATCATTCAATCGAATGTACGGAATTTCAAATGGTACTCGCCGATTTGGTGTTTGATATATAATCGTGAATGGAAACCGACGCCATTATAAAACCATCTGCGCGCCACTTTAATGATTTCTTTTCATATGAGACTCGAGCTGTCGATTCATCAATTCGGAGACCAATGATTAAGTGTTTCGTTAGCCGAAATATAATATCGTTTAACTAATGTTGTTGTTGCGACTATTATTAACAATACTAGAAAACTAAAGTGAATAAAAGTTTCTGGTTCTCTGGGATCTTGTATTCTGTAACTAACGTTACTTGTAATATTAAAAGGAATTAGCGAGTTAATCTGGAACTCACTGAATAGATTCAGCCTGGTGTCGACCTATTAAGCGATGTTAAGTTATTGACAGTCTGAATAAACGGACGTCAGTAGACGAAATTCAAAGTACATACATGTACGTGTATATACGTGTCCGATGATATCTAAATAGGGTTCTGCGAGAACGAACGATTTCAAGTGTAATCGAAGCACACCATTTTGGTTTTAATCTCAGCCGCGTTTGTTGCATACTTGTCACGTGTACATATTATTCCCAACGAATGCATACCTGTTTATACAACCTTGAGTTGTGCTGTGATTTACGTCCATGTATCTAGTTATACATACAAAAGCGATTGGAAATAAAATAAAAACTTAACAAAATATACGTGGTATTTTGATTCCTTTTTAACAGTGCTTTGGATTGAATGCTCAATATCTTCGAAAATCACCTAAGGAACCATGATCACAAATTCTTCTGTTCGTTTGTTGAAAAGTGAACGTATTAGAAAGAGGTTTTGTGTTAAGTCCTGCAAGAACTATTATTTTTGTTTTTTTCGAGTACAAGAAAGTAATAACGATTAATATTGCTATTATAAACACGCTAATATTATTATGTCAATTTAGAAATAATTTTTTCTATGATTTACCGTGAAAATATCTACTTCTCCGGTCAATAAGGAATGTACAGTTGAATGAGCATGGTCATCCACGGTTAAATTTATGTTTTATTGCAAAGCTTTTTATACGTAAACACGTCTGTGAATGGGAATCCTCTGAAGCAGAAATAAAAGCTATATTTCAGATTTTCATATAATTATTTATATAAATATTTCAGATGTTTAGTACAATTAGTTTAATTGCAATTACACGACTAAGGGAGGGAAACAATAAAATAATTTGGACCATGCAATAATGTCTGGTAATAAAATAGATGGTAACGTTTAATATATGTATTTTATATAATTCTACTTGCATGTCAAATAATACATAAATCCAAAAATGTCTTTTTAAAGATACTGGTTTATGAATGATTCTTTAACGACAATGCAAGTACATTATTAGAAACGCAATTTACGCAGCCGTATGTATTGTTGCTCGTAATTGGAATAATGTTGATGCGAGAATGTTTTTTGTTCTTTTTCTTTTATTTACGATTATACCTGTGTGCATTTTATATGTTTATGGTAGATGTAGAAAGCATGTATAGTATACTTTACTGCAAATATGAAAACAATTTAATGGGGTTGTTGCATTGGTCCTATGCTTTTATATATAAAAGTGCAGAGGAACAATCCTTCTTGTTTAAAATGGACACCCCCCCATTTTCATCTAGTATACATACACCAAATACACGTTCTCATTGTCCGTAACATGTACATCTGTATATGCACATGCGAGAATGTTTCGACGAGAGCGCTGTTGTGGGTACAAACTCGCAACTGCATGTGTAGAATGTATACAACTACCGGTCATGTCCTAGCAGGACTTATATGTTTTTGTCATTACTATAAACATTTGATCTAAATATATTATTATACGACATAGATGTTAGAGGAATCGGTTTCAGAGTATTAGCTGTTGATTGTCATTTGGCGGACTACATGGGACCCTCTATTAAACTAATTTTCATTGTGAAATAATAAATGCTTCGTCCCAGACACAAAAGTGCGAATAGAAATGCACCTGAAATTAAAGATATTCTCAGGTAATTTAAAAGAATAAAACAATCATTTATATTTCCTAAAGTCCAAAGTATCCTACAATACCCACCAACATAAGCTACATAAATTCCACCCTTAGATTTTGCATGTGTATAAGTTCCGACCTACAAACAGAAATAGCACTGATTTTACTTCAGCATATGAAGCAATTATTAAATAATAATAAATTAAGTTACAAAAGTACTTACAGTCACAGCTACTGCAATTATTAAGGCTATTATTCCCAGAATAACAAATGCAATGCTTCGACCTCTAGCAAAGTCTGAACCAACCGAAGATATTTTTCGACAATGTGGACATCGGGCCAAAGCATTATTCAATGTGTTAAACTAAAGAATAGAGTACATGTTATATTCTATACATACAGAAGACATATTTTTTACTTATGCTCTTACCAAAAATGTGTCATGACAATGAGCACAGCATACTCTGCACATTCCAGGCATAGAAAGAACAGGTGGTGTGATTGGACTCGGAGCAAGGTTAATGATACGTTTACAATTTGGCCTTGGACAAGCAATACGTTGTGAGGAGCTTTTACATATTAACAAACAATTGCATGGACAACGAACATATTTCTTTCCTGGTGGTGCACTTCGTATGGGCTGGAAAAATAATTAATGTTCTCATTTATGGATATGCAGGTTTACAACTTTAAAAGATAATTCATGAACATACAGTAGCCTCGTTGCACTGCAAACATTTGACAACATGTTGATCTCTTTTAGTAGATATATCTATCATAGCCTGACAAACTCTACAAGTGACCATAGGCAGACCATCTGGATGAATCGACTGATACGAAGGAGGTAGTTCATCAGGACCTATTGTGGATACTGTGTTGACAGTTGACAATGTTTCATCTGAGGCAGCTGTTTTGAGTGAGGCAAAGTGAATCAGATTAACCCTTGTGACATTCAATTACTTCACAGTGTACGGTAAAAAAGATGATAGACTTTTTTATATATTCGTAGATAGACCAATATTACAGTCTTGACAACGAAGATACATGTACGTGTTTTAGTATCATTACGATATTTTTAAAAACTGAGCTACAACAGATTAAAAAGCAGACTTATCTTTCAATCAAACAAAATAAAGTGGCCAATATACTCAGTCGTGTCCGTATGTCGTACGGACTAATTAGCGAAAGGGTTAAACAATTCCTTTAATCCATTCGCCGAGCGAGAAGAAATTGTTTTACCTATGACATCGGTGCTGCGTGAACTGTAGGTAACATTTTCATTTTTTAACAACGGCTGTCGTTCGCCCACTTTGCCGTCTCCCATGTCGAGCTGTTAATCGGCCCCCTTAACGACAACAATTTAGTTAAGTATTGTTTGACAGTACTCCCGGTGCTCCGATGACAAGGATGACAAAATACAAATTTTTCTGACACCCACCGCGGTACTGTCTGTTTATAGAATGGAAACCCTATCTAACAGCCGATATATAGTGAATTAATACATCGGGGACCTCTAATCACCGACTAGTAGACGGTGATATTAGCGTCAATGAAAATTTCAGCGACAAACTTATGAAACCTTTATGAAGCTTTGAAGATCGTACGGAAGATTTGCAAGTTACAGAAGAGAGAATTATTTGCGACGGATAAATTACAATATTTTATAAGCCTGAATAACACCAGAGCGTATTACCACCGACTAGGTATAGAATAGACCTAACATCCATTGCTTTTTTCTGTCCACGTTCATAGGGCTACGTAGCCCTGTTACCATTTTAGTGTCAATATCCGACGTTACCGATAAAGCATGCATTCTGGGTATTATTAACACAAATGAAGTGTTATTCCATTCATATTGTGTGTATCTATATGATTTGACGGGAATAAAAATATCCGATTCTTCAGTTTAACGTTAAGGGATAAATATGACAGTCATGAAACATGAAACGGAAAAGTATATATTTTTTCACTTAACTACAAGACAATTTATTCTAAATGCATGGTTAATGGATTTCATTCGTTTTTATATCTTGCCTTACATTTGTGTATTTGTAACAGATAAATTCAGAATAGATGTAGTTTCATAAATAGTTTATCAAATCTACCTTTTGGCCGTTGCGGGAATGCCTTACCTTACCGTAATGAGCCATCTCATGGCCGCGGGATTCCGAGAATTGGGTGACGTCACGGCGTGCGAGCGAGAGCGGTAGAGCGGCCGCGGTATCGGTGCTCTCCGTCGGTGTTGACGGGTGCCGAGGAATTTCGGTGGTCTATGGGAGGGAGGTGTGCGAGCGAGAGAGTACGGTAGAGCGTGCCGAGTATCGGTGCTCTCCGTCGATCCAACGCG